ATCTTTAATCCCAATGAATTTAAGTTTCAATCAGGAAGTATTACGCATAAAAATATCAGTACCACAAAGATTAGGTAAACAATGTAGAATATCATATAGTCTGTATGTGCTTCATATGTACTTATATGACACATTCCAAAAATCAGGGGAAAATAGGAAATAGCATACAGACAATAAAGATAAAGTGGATGAACCCATTTGGCAATGTGTTCGTGTGTACATGTGTGTTCAAGGCACTAAAGCAGTCAAGGTTTACTATGTACCAGGGATATTTCTAGTATACTTATTTTCTTATTCTCTAAGTTTAAATTTAGATGTATTGTGTTTTCCCAAACTAAGTTATTCTGTAGCCTACTTAGAGATTAAATTTGAGGGAAAGGCTTTTGGATAATTTAAACCAAAGATTTGTGGAAGGGTCTCTCTAGACATAACCTTTATACCTTAAAAAAAAAAAGGAAGTTCCTATCTAACTCGATCCTTCTTGTTTATCACTCACTACGTAGAGTAACATTTCTTGATTGCTGAATGTATGTTTTCCCTTCTTCCATTGACGGACCCTTTGCAATGGTGAGCACAGCTTTTGAGTTCTGTGAGCTAATGCTGACATTTTACTTCACCATGCCAGTTTTCAGCAAAACACAACACACTGCTCCAAGCACTCACTTTCCTGAATGGTAGTTCTCCTAATTTCATAAACTGTTTTGCAGGAAACACCATTTGCTATCATGCCCTTTTGGCTGTCTGTCCTCTGAGTGTGGCGCACTGGGTGAGCACTGAGCTTGAGGTGAACCCCTGCAGATGTGGCATCCTGCGCGGCTTAGCCGACAACAGCTGTACCCTCACCACTGAACACTAGCAGAGGGCCACTCCCCACAATACTCGCTCCAGCCTGAACTTCTACAGGTTTGCTCCACGACAGCATATCCCTTTTAAGAATGGCCTCCTCTGCGATTAGTTCCCTAGCAATTATTGACTCTCTATTCCTAACTTGACCAGCTGAGAAACCATGGAATTATTTTGAAGCTACAAAATCTCAAATACTGGCATACTATAAACGTTCTAAAGTGATAAATGAGCCAAAAAGTCTTTAACACAAAAGTCAGTTTTTCTCCCCTGTAAGGTGATGGTGTTTCCACGTATCATAGGCTTTAGAAGTCAAAGGGACCAGGGGAGAAATCACCTACTTAATCAGAGAGGCAAGATTCTCAAAGAGGAGAGAAGGAGCCAGAGCAGGAATCATGCACTCTTGGGAACAGAATCCATTTCAGTGGGGCACCGGCCTCAGGACTCTTGGCAAACCTTGGAGCCCACAGATGATCAAGTCCTTCTATAAAACGATGCAAGTGACCTTTGGCACAGTGCCACATTCTGTATTCATCCTTGGATGACTCTAACACCTAGGGCAGTGCAGATGCTAAGACATCTGTTGCTGCATTGCATTGCTTAGAGAATAACAGTAAGAAAAACATGTCCATGTGCTTTTAGTAAAGACGCCATCTTTTTCTCAAGAACTTTGGAATGTGGTTGATGAGATCTATGAATGTGAACCCATGAAACAGACAGTGATTCTCCATTCTTTTTCCCAATTCTAAAAAATTGTATTTTATTACTTGCTTATTTTTTTTTATGTATGTTGGGGAACACATGGCCATAGAAGTCAGTGGGTAACTTGTAGAAGTTAGTTCTTCTTTTCTACCATATGGGCCCTAAGGGATTGAACCCAAGTCCTCAAGTTCGGTGGCAAGTACCTTTACCCACTGAGCCATCTCAACCATCCCATAAGTTGATCTTTCAATCAAGGATACATGAGATTTTTACATAAGCACTTGTTGCAATGCAAGGTTTCTATATCCAGAAGAATAAATGATGTTCAGGGAATCCTATGAGCTGTCACAGAAAAATTATTTTACCATCCAATGGTTGTTAAGTTTGGACCAGAGATCTTTACACTTTAAACTTAATCAGAGTCTCTTTTGTGTTTGTTCTCTTTGTTCTTAGCAGAGGCAAATAGAAGAAATTCTACCACCAATAACACGACTTGTATTCCTAGATCTCAACAAATTCTTAGGGGAGGCAGGCTGAGGGAAGCTGAGGACTGGGGCTTTCCTCTGTGTTCCTATGCCAAGCGGACATAGCCAGCTAGTGACACAATGATCTTTGCACATAGGGGTAAAGGGACCATGCGGTTAAACAGAGATGAGCCTTTCTGCTCTCTGCGTGCCCATCTGAAGGTCCAGCCTATCTCCTGCTTAGCAAGCTCTGTGCGGGCAGCCCGAGCACTTGGGAAGGAGCACAGCCTTGCAAGCCGTGGTTCCATCTGCTTCAGCTTCCTCTCCCATTTCTCTTCAAGGGGGGCACTGATGGCTTGCACTTGTAAAGGCTGCGTATCAAAATGCCAAGGCCCATCATTACTGAGTAGAAGAGAAGATTGCAAGGCGACAGCCTCAGGAAGTGGGTAATGAGCTGGGCATAGCCCAGGCTTAGCTGGAGAGCAATTGCAGCCTCGGAACACTGTTATTTGAGCTCCTCTCTGCAATTTCTTCCTTTCAGATAATTTTTGCTCAAACTCCAACCCCAGTGCTTACTTTGATGCTGGTTTCGTGCCACAACTGACCCACTCCTAGATAACTCGGACCTCTCTCCCGTCATTTTCAGCTTCACCCACAGCAGAGGCTGGCCCGTAGGTCACACCAATAGAGTTACAGGGAAAAGCCTATTCCTTCTCGTTTAATCAGACTCTTTATTTACCACTATTACAGGTCCATAACTGAAATGGCTTGCTAAAACTCTTAAAGTACAGTGGTTTCCAGGTAACCTGTGTTTGGAGAATATAGGTTACCCCATACTTGTGACAATTTGGCAAGAATGAATGGTAAGAAATCCTCACCATGGAAAAGCGAGGAGGACAGCTGCACCCCTGTATGTGTTCTGCAGCTTCCAGAGGACCTTGTGTCCCTGAGTGGGAGGATGGGGGCTTAACATGAGGATCGTGCATGGCTATCTTAAATGGTGTTGAAAAGAACTGTCACTGGAAAAATAGGGTGACAGTAATTTCTCAAAGAACTGAGACTCAGCTCAGCGTGTCCAACAGCAGTTACGTGTCGAGAGGCCAAGTCTGAGTTTGAGATTCTGGTCTCTTTGTGGGAGTGGGGGGAGGTGATGAATTCCGGGTTTTTATTTCCCTTCAATATTTCATGGATAGGAAAATATTCCAGAGAAACCACCTAGAATTTCAGGGAAAAAAATCTTTTTTTTCACCCCAACATCCTATTCAGATCCAGCAAATTGAAAAATGCAGACACTCAACTCGCTTCTGCTGCCAGAACACCGAGCGAAAAGTTGTAAAGTGAGAATTTCAGAGAGTAAGAGGGGTTCTTTGCCAACCCCAAATGTCCAGCACCTTAAGAAATAGAGTGTGCTGAAACTGACTTCACATTTAGTCTTGTCAAAAAGGAACCCAAAGGTTCATGGGAACTTGGATAGCGTCCAATGGAAAGACTTAGGTGGGTGGCCACCCAAAACTATGACTCCAGATCTGGAGGCAGTGTTTCCCTTTCTTTTACAGTGCAAGGATTTACATGCTACAGGCACGCTGTATTAGGACGCCATCAACCTTGGCTCTTGTCTCCTTACCAAGAAGGTGGCTAGGAATGGTGCAGAACCATTTGGCTATTGGGAATGAACTAGCCCATTCTACCAGCAAAACCCACGCTTCCCCGTCTCACGTGTCTTTCCCCCGACCTGCTAGTGCTGCACTCTTAGGTTCAACAAGGTAGAAGAGTTTTGCATCATCTCCTGGGGAGGAATGCCAGGCTCCTTTTGGAAAATACTGATGCCATTACTCCTTTTCTATTTTCTTAGTATCTTCATACAGGGAGAACCTCAGAGAACAGACCCTCAAATCCCCCCTTAAACAAAAAAATCCTTGGATTAGATGTGTGTGGAACTCATAATTTTTTTTCTCCAGAAATGGTGTTAGTTGCAGGTATAATACAGAACCTCTGCTGAGGGCTGAGCCAGACAGCCATTTTCTGCATGAGCATTGATGCAGTGAAGATAGGCGTCTTCACAATGTGTGGGATATGGACGGACAAAAATAGCAGGGAATCCGCTTCTCAAATAAATCTGGGTGTTAAATTTACAAGAGACCTTTAAGATTTTCTGGACACTTTAGGTTTTGTGATGGAGGCGGGGATTTTACATCTGTACAAGGCTTTCTAAAGCTCTGTCAAAGGGACCCACTTGCTTTGAGACAAGAGGAGGTGTCACATGCAAAGAGCTTATGGAGCCTTTCCAAATGGCTTTTGAACAGTTTGACTAGACAGGCCAGGAGCAAAACTGAGGGAAATGTGTTGTCCTTGTCTGTAGGGTCCTGCCACATGTGACTTTGACATATCCTGTTCTATTGCGTCAATCTGTGACAGCATTGCTGTCCTGGACTCTGAGCTGCCTTGCTGAGCTATAGTGAAGGAGACCAGAAAGGGAGACATTAGTAACCTGTCTGAGGCTCACAGAAATATTCTGGGAGAAAAAGAAAGACCGATAGGATGAGACCGTTGCAGCCAAATAGCTAACGCTGTGACAACATAATGAAGGAATCACACGGCTTGCTTTATAAGGCACATGTAAACCCCACACTTCTCCTTGAATGAGTGCTGCTTACTTGTCCTTCTGTTTCTCTGTTAGTCTGAGACAGGGTCTCATGATACATCCTTTGTTACGGATCTTGTGCTGACCTAAAACTTGGGATGTAGCCCCGGCTAGTCTCACACTTGCGATCCTCCTACCTCAACCTCCCAAATGCTGGGATTACAGGCGTGAGCCACTATTCCCACCAATAAAAAAAAATGCCTGAAAGCCCAAATCACTGCAAATTTAAACACTGGCGTGGGAAGTTATCTCCTGGGCTATTGTGCAAAGGACTGCATAGATAGGGGAAGGGAGAGTGTTCTTAGAGGTGGGGGCTTGTCACCAGTGAAGACAGAGAGATCAAGGCTTACTTGGCTTCCAGGGCTAGGGCAATGATGCCAGCAGCCATGGGGGCTGAGGCTGATGTCCCGGTATGATTGTCCGTGCACCGCTGTCTTAGATCAGTAGTGATCTGAAAAACAAGATTGAAGAAGCTTAGGCCCTGACGACAGTCTACTTACAAAGTGGATAGAGAGGAATTAAAGATTAATTTTAAATTCAATGTTTCCAGACACCCATTATCATTCATCTTCAAATAATTGCCTGGATAAACCAAATGACTGGAAACTGACTCCATTCAAAGCAGAATAGCTTTTAAGGGTGAACCATGGCTCAGAAACTCAAGGTCACGCACGGATCTCCTAAAAGTCCACTGTGTATGCACCTTATGTACCCCACCTCAGCCTCACTCTGGATTAAGATGAAAATTATTTAACTGACCCACATTTTAAACTAATTAAATATGCTAAGTGAACACCCAGACTGAAAACCTGGTGTGGGTAGGTGAAGGGATAAACTGTAGAGCTCTCACATTCTCCAAGCTATAAATCTGAGCGAGCATCATGTCTCAAGAAAAGATTTCTGCACACAAGTGACCTTGGCTTGAGGACTTTTTGTAGAATTCATAAGCCTGCTGCCCAGAGGAGTGAAGGCTTCCTCAGAGGTTTCACACAGACAGGAGAAGCAAGGGTTGAGCTTCTGTACCTCACACGCAGCTACGGCAGTGTGGGTTTGCACGTTACACAGAAGAGATTAGCTGCTTTTCCATTTTTTTCCCCCTTGCCATCCAAATGTGAAAACCATATCATTTTATTTTCTTGGCTTGAATCCAGCTCCCTTTAGCTCTGACTGAATTGTATTACCATTCAGCAGAGGCAATGGTTCCCAGCCTGTGTTTCATTATTGTCTCACTAAGAAAGAAAATGAAATTTAAATTCTCCTTAACAAGAAAAATTAACTACTATAGAATATGACTCTAGAAGCCATTGTAATACCCCTCAGATTAAAACGAAAAATATTCCCTCCTGGACAGACATGCATTGTGTTCCCTCGGGACTGATTTTTGTGTTTTATGGGAGATGAATCAGTGGACACGCTGCGTTCACCGGGTGACACCGGCAACCTTTCTTTGGCACGAAGACAAGGGTGTCAGCACCCATCACAGAGAAGTGAGCTGATGTGAAAGCCGGCCCGAAAGCCCATGAGCGGAGGCAGCAGCTGAGAGCACAGCCTTTGTTTTCGGAAGAGGACAGAAAAAAGCTGAAGTCGGGTGTGGGTGAGGCAGCAGGCGGACACTCCAGCCCCATGTCAGCCTCACCACTATCTTCTCCGACGACAGGGGCCTGAATGGACTCTCCCATCATGTGACAGAGGTGGAGCAGGACCTCAGACCACTCCGTTTCCCACAACAGAGCATGTGTATCATCTCCTTTGACATGCGTCATGCTACCAAATGACCTGCATCACGTAAGTACAAACACGGACACGAAAGAAGTGGGAGAAGAAATACGTGCAGCCACAGAGACATGGGTCTGCAGGCGATAGATCCGCACTTCCCTATACGTAAAAGAGCTTCCTAAGTTCTTAACTGACTTTGAAAAGGTGTGGTATAAATTTTGTGTGTACAGCATTATTTAGGACACACTGCTGCCTTGGTTCTCTAGGATCTTTCTCATCTGCAGGAAGGAAAGTCAGAGTTGACAACTGTTCTGACTCTCGCCTCCCGTCACCTCCTGCTGTGATGTGTTTGATTAAGTACCTCACCTAAATGAAACCACTTAGGATCTGTCTCTCACTGATTGGATTAATTCACCTACGTGATGTCCTGAAGCTTCATGGATACGGCAGCACATGGGAGAATCCGTTTTAAAAAACCTGACCACTACTCCATTGTTCAGGACTTTCAAGTCACTCATCTGTTGACGGACACCGGGGCTTTTTTCCATGTCTGGCTGCTGAACAGTGCTCCAAATGTACACAAAATGCAGAACACTTTTCGAAATCTAATTTCAAGTGCCCTTGAATATAATACCAGGAGTGGGGTGGCTGAATTGTTAAAAGAGGCATTTCTGGGGGTGGAGAGATGGCTCAGTGGATAAAACATTTACTGTGCAAGCCTGGCGATCTGAGTTTGATCTCTTAACATTACGTAAAGGTGGGTGAAGAGGACTGCGCCCACACTCACACAGCATATGCCCACAATAATTCGTTTTTTTTTTTTTTTTTTTTTTTTTTTTTTTTTTTTTTTTTTTTGGGACAGGATTTTTCTTTTGCTTTGGAGCCTGTCCTGGAACTTACTCTGTACACCAGACTGGCCTCGAACTCACAAATGTCCACCTGTCTCTGCCTCCTGAGTACTGGGATTAGAGGCGTGTGCCACCACTGCCCAGCAATACGTAATATTTTTTAAAGGCACTTCTATCCTACTTTAAACCGGGGGAGGGGATCTCTACAGTCATTTTCTGAGGTACAGGTCTCTGAGTCCAAGCATGAACACATCAGAAATAGCCTTTTTCTAGGTCTCCAAAGTCCTTATTTTTGAGAGATGGTCTCAAAAGACAACATTTTTTTTTTTTGAATTTTACCTCATCTCATGGTCACATTCCTTTACGCAAGTGCTAAGTTTTTCAATGAATTTTGGCTGGATCCAAGTCTTTTAATGGTATCTACCTACTTATTCTTCACTTGTACCAGACACTTGCAATACACATACTTAGGTCCAGAACACACACTCAGAGAGTGTGTTCGACATTGGTGAATCTCACAAATAGCCAGCTCTGGCCAGACAAGAACAAGAAATAGCTTATGATGTAGGATCCATAGCATAAATCTGACACATTCTTTTATGGTTACCTGGCACACACACATATAACATGGACTGACATAAAAAGCTACTTAGAATCGTCACAGAGAGACATCATTGGTGTGTCAAATACTATCACTTTTGACAACTTTGTGTGGAATTCAAGTCAGCATTGTGTTCTAACTCTTTTCAATCATTTGACCTAAATGAAAGGAATCGGAGGGGAGTGGAGCAGGAAGGTGATGGAAAACTGGAGGTTAAAAGATTCAGGCAAAAGAAGAGACAAAAACACCCTTCTTCCTTCTTTGCTCTAAGTGAAATTCCAGTTGGGTCACTTCAATAGGAAGTTACTGTCAATGGGAGAGATGTCCAGGTGTAAACTACCAGGAGCATTTAAGGTAAGCTTCTCACCATTAAAAGAAACCAGAATACCAGGGAATATTTATGTCTATCTGCAGAAGGAAAAAGCAAAGACCACTATGGGATGTGAAACCTAGGAGAAAAATGATGGTTTAAAACCAGGACGAACTGAGGTAAGCACACCCATCACAAGGCACGGGGAACAGAACACAGGACCCGCCAGTGCACCTGGAGGGAAAGTGGCATCCAGCGTGCAGCCCCTAACACAGGGCGGTTGTGCTCCTACTTCAGACTCCCTCGAGAACGTCTCAGAATTTGGTCTCGATCCCGGTGGCAGGCTCGCCTGTTCCAAATTCCCTCAATTCACCACCCAAATCAGAAACAGAATCGGTATCCAAAGAACTGAAGTTGCTCAAGAAAATATCATTTGCGTCCATCACCGAGAAGGAAACTGGAGAGGACACAGGCCCTGAGTAGATCAAAGCTGTCATGATGGGCAAATTAGATTTCCAGCCTCATAGGATCAGTAGCAGATGGGGTTTTGGACTCCGCAAAGCTAGGGATGTCATCTTTTCTTGGTGAGCCAGGCAGGGTCTTGTTCAGTTCCAGCCAGGATCCTTGAGAAGAACCACCACTTTCCTCACTAGGCTCTTATTTCCTAATACTTCACAGTTCATTACTAGAGCTGATTGGGCTTTTGACTGTTGCCTGTTGATATCACTCTCCAGGGAATCTCAGTGCAGATTGACTTGGGCCCTAAGTGACAAGCATTTACAGCAACCCGCAGTAAGTGTCCTCTCTCCCTGATGCCCTGTGATCCTTTTTAGTTTTGAAGGTGCCAGTTTGCCTCATACCTGTTAAAGAGGATCTGAAAAGATATTTTTAAAACATGAAATGATTTTGCTATCTGTTAGGATGAATTTGCTCCTAGTGCTGATGGATTTGGGTTGGAAATGTGTTAGCTGAACTGTCTTAGAGCCAGCAATCGTGGTGAAGGGCAGAGACAATGAACTGGTGTTAGCTCGTTATTAAGCACGTGACCTGAAAAGAAATAAGGACCACTAAATGACATCTGTCCATAGATGTCACCAAGATGGGTGCAGAATTCAGCGAGTAGGATGAATTCAGTATAAAACACTGACCACTCATGTTTTGCTAAGAGAACTTAGAAATGCGGGGTGCAAGGAATGAACCTGCTTCTCTAAACAGGGGTCCTTTCCCGTGTCACTTCTATTCCCCCATACAGCGCAGCTGAGTCCCACAATGCAACAGAAGCAAAAATTTCTTTGCTAATAGAACTGCTTGACTCAAGCTCCCCTGGATTTATTTTATTTTACACTCTCAATTTTTCCATTTCTTTAGAAACACTTCAAGGTCACTTCTCTTCTGACTATTCAGTCAGGACTCCGAGACACTTAGAATCATCCCACAAAAGTTAGGTGTGCACTGATACTGTAAATTAGTCAAGGGTTAGCCAGGTGGTGGTGGTGCACACCTTTAATACCAGCACTTGGGAGGCAGAAGCAGGCAATCCCTGTGAGTTCAAGGCCACCCAGGTCTACAAAGTGAATTCCAGGACAGCCAGAGCTGTTACACAGAGAAACACCGTCTCAAAAGCAAAGCGAAACAAAACAAAACAAAATGAAAACCAGCCAACCAAATTAAAGGGTAGCCATTAACCTCAAGGTTTCTCTCCTCAAACTACTATTAGCAACCGATGGTGAGGTGCCTGGGTGTAGAACATTCCACACAGCCACAGGATGCTTGCAAGGAAAGCATTACATCATTAACAGCGGAGGGAAAGGAGGTTCAGCAAGGCTAATTATCTTGTTCCAGGACACACAGCAGCAAAGCAGTTAGTAAGCAGAGATGGCATTAAATCCTGAACCAGCAACGTAAAAAAAGTTTTTAGAGTGTGCTGCCACCCATGAGGACAATAGCAACATAGTCAGCCCTCCAGTCACCTCAGG